GAGAGATATATATATATATATACATGCACATATATATATATATATATATACTTATATATATATATATACACATTGTGTGTATATACATATATATATATATATATCCCAACCGCGGAGCTCTAAATCCTACACCCTTTGCCTGAAAGCCTGAAGCTCCCCGCCCAAAAAAAAACATAAAGCTGAATCTTAAGCTCTCAAGGTGTATGCAACTCTCAGAACAGACATATTTAACCATATTCAGCCCGTACAGAAAACAATGCCTCCAGAAAGACATGAAATCATACTCGACCCATTTGCAACCTTACACATGCCCTAAACCCCGAACCCTAAATCCTGCACCCTAAACCCTGAACTTTCCCTGAAGCTGCCCCACCTGGCGCAGCACCGCTTCCAAGGCCGCATCGCCGATCTCTGTGGCCGAGCTGCGCAAACTTTCCTGCGCTTCAAAGGGTTTCTGGCTTAGGGTTTAGAGCTTCGGGTTCTTGGTGATATTATACTATCAGAACGGGAGTTATACGAGGGGCTAAAAGGGAGGCCAGACACAGAAAGTTGCAACATTACTATTTTCATGCTCTTAAAGTTGCACTGCCTGCAGGCCTTCACTGCATGGCACTTCAAAACCTGGCGAGCGTCGGGGCGTTCAGCGCCCGCCTCTTCACCACCACTCCACAGATCTCGCTGTGATAACCCTTGCGTTTTATCCTAAAACCCTGAAGCCCTAAACCCTTAAACCCTAAGCCCTAAGCCGACAGCACACCGTACCCCTGCTTTTCGACATCCTGAGGCGGCAGCTGCGCGCTTAGCGAATGGCCGAGTGGTCACTTGGGGAGATCAGCGACACTCTGGCTGTGATCTAGGCTTCTTTAGGGTTTAGGGTTCAGGGTGTATTGTTTAGGGTTTAGGGTTCTTGTTTGGGGTTTAGGAGCTAGGGAGCTTTTTGAGGATATTGGGGTGTGCTGATGAGGTTCACTGTCAAGGGTCATCAGTGTGAAGAGTTGAAGCTGCAAAGCAGGCTCAGCACATTTGGTTTGAGTGGTGGGAGGTTGATTTCGGCTTGGAGTCTTATGGGCTTTGCAAGAGCCTCGGTTTGAAAATCCTGAGTCCTACATGGTCAGCTTGCTTCTGTTGCACGGTATTTTTGGGGAAGCTGCCTGGCTGGAATGGTCTAGGACCGAGACACCTACATCCCCCAAAAAGGCTAAAACTGTGATTATCAACTGTACACCGCAAAACCAACGCAGCGAAGCAACCATGCAAGTGGAAGACGAACCCGTGAGAGCCAGCAAAGCAAACATCAAAGTGTGGAAAAGAGTTCAACATCAAGAACAAGACGAACAAAATACGACATAAACACGACGAACATGGTGGCGACGACACGACCTTCATCACCTTCACCACCATGGCCACCACCGCCACCACCAGCAGCAACACCACCGCCACCAGCCCGGCACCAGCACCAGCACCACCGCCACCGCCACCAGCGACAGCACCGCTGCCACCAGCACCAGCACCAGCACCAGCACCAGCACCAGCACCGACACCACCAAAACCACCAAAACCACGACCACCACCAACAACAACAACACAGACAATCACCAAAACCACAACGACCAGACAACGACAGCCACAGCCCACGGCCACAGCGACAACGACAACGAAATACGACAACGCCACAACAGCCAACAGCCAACAACAACCAACAACCAA